TGGTCCAGGACCAGGGAAGTGTTTCGTTCTGTTGTGCATAGGGTCGCTATGAGTTGGTACCAATTCGATGGCACCTAACAACATAGAGTTTCCGAGGCTGTAAATCTTTATGGGAACAGTTAGCCTCATTTTTCTTCCATGTAACGGCTGGTAGTTTCGGACTGCTGACCTTGAAGTTAGCAGCCCTGTGAGTAATCACTATGCTACCAGAGCGTCTTATAAGACAGAGTTGTTGTTGTTGTTGTTAAGTGTCGTCGAGTTGGTTCTGACCCATAGCCACCCTGTATAAGGTTTCCTAGGAGCAGATAGCTTGAACCACTGACTTTGCAGTTCAAACAGCTTTACAGTTTGGTGCATTAACCTACGGTGCCACACCAGGGCTCCTATAGAACACAGTAGAACTGCCCTATAGGCTTTCCAAGGCTGTGGTCTTTATGGAAGCAGATGGCTGGATATTTTTCGTGCAGAGCGGCCGGTGGGTTCAAACTCCCGACCTGTCAGTTAGCAGTTACCAGAGCTGGTTCTGGGGCTTAGAAGAGTGTTTGCCTTGAGCACCCGTGGACTTGCTTCTGTTCTCCAGCCCACAGAATTCCCTTTAGTGTTGGCCTGTGGGCTTATGTAAATGGTTTGCTCTTTATAGTACTGTTAAAAGACACAATCGCTTCAGGGTGGGGTGGGGAGAAGTAGGGTTGGGGATGCCTTTTATTGTAACCTGTCTCAGATGGTAAGTTCTGAGAGCACCACAGCTATGATTGTTCCTTTGTAGTTGTTGTTGTTGTTGTTAAGTGGCATCCGGTTGGTTCGGACTTATAAGGACCCTGCTTAGGGTTTCCAAGAAGTGGCTGATGAGCTTGAACTGCTGACCTTGCGGTTCAAACTGACATTGCAATCCAGTGCATTTACCTGCAGCTCCATACCACTGTTTGACATTTTATCCACTGTTGTTGTTGTTAAATGCCGTTGAGTGGATTCTGACCCACAGCAACCCTGTATAGGGTTTCCAAGGAGCAGCTGGGGAGCTTGAACTACTGACCTTGCAGTTCAAACGACTTTGCAGTCTGACGCATTAGCCCACAGCGCCAATGATTCTAGATGCCTTAGATTAAAAAACAAACATTAAATCCTGAGTTCTGGTTAGATTGCTGGGATATAGTTTGAATCCATAGATGCTATTTCTTTTAGGGGGTTTCCTGGCACTGGGATTGAGCTGGCCTCACATGGGCTTTCCTGGACCCTCTTGGGTTTGCGTGAGCTCACCTGGATGCACCTGGACTCACAGACTTCCTAGGTTTCATTCCTTCCTGTGCTGTTTGAGCCACTTGGCTTAGCAGACCCAGCCACCCTCCGGCACGGTTTCTTTCCGGAGTCAGCAGAGAGGGGCCTTGTCTTTAGCTGTTGATCCACAGGCATAGGGCTGCACGCGGCCTGGCAGGGCTGAGCCCATGGGGTTGTGTCCAGCTCTGTGGGCGCTGGGAGGCCAGTGGAGAGCTGAATGAGGCCTTTGAGACAAGTCCCTGAACCTGATGTCCCAGGACACAGACTTTTCAATAAATGAGTTCCTCCACCTTGTAACTTTCCACAGCAAGAAGTCTGGCTCCGGATCCCTTCGGAGGGAGCATTTTCAACAGCTTGAAATCTAGAGTAGACCCTTTGAGCAGAACTATGAGAGTGTAGTCCTACCCCTTCTTCCCCCGGAGAGCAGATTCACCAGCAGTGGGTTGAGGGGACTAGGGGCAGTGCCATTTTGGGGTCTGTGTCCTTGCTGAGTGACCCTTTACAATCATTGTGTATTTTTTGACTTTTACAAAGCCCTATTTTGCAGGGAGTGAAAAAGCCTTACCTATGTCTTAAGCGGAGTCCTGGTGTGGCACTGTGGGTTAACGCTCCAGACTGCAAAGCCGTTTGAACTGCAAGGTCAGCGGTTCAAGCTCACCAGCTGCTCCTTGGAAACCCTCCCTATACAGGGTCACAATCACCTCAACAGCACTTAACAACAACAACAACAACAACAACAACAACATGTCTTAAGCGGCTAATGATATGAAAGATGAAGGAGGCAAGACCGCTCACCAAAGAAGCCACAAACATGCTCTACAACCGGGAGTCCATACAGGTGGGCTCCAGTGGGGGCCCACCCAGGGGTCTGATGGCTAGAGAGGTGGAAGGGAGGCCTTCACGACAGAGAACAGAGACGTGGAAACAGGAGGTTTAGGGGCTTCTTTTTCATCCCATAATAATATAGCTTATTAAATATATTAAATCAATTTAGACAATATGTTGCCTGTATGAAAGCTAATGTGATATAAAGCCGAGACAGTCAATAAAATATATCAATGAAAAAACATAATTATTTGTTTCCATATGTCTGAGATGACTTTATTAACAGGTGAATTAAATTCCTAACTGATGTCATGTATGAGCCCGGATTACATTTGAAGATGTTTAGAAGGTGGGGTGGGTTTGTGGTGAGGAGGAAGGAAAGCAGAAGCAACACCTCTCTAATTCACATTTCTTTTCTTTTTTTGGACATTTTATTATGGTTTGCGTGAGAGTTTACAAAGCAAATCAGTTTCCCATTTAACAATTTAAACACATTTTGGTTTTGTGACCTTCTTTGCAAAGCCTGCAATATTACAGCACTCTTCCCGCTTCCTCCCTGGGGCCCTGTGTGCTTTCACGCTTCTTCCCTGCTTTTCCTGCCTCCTGAACTTTGTGTTTGGGCAAATGCCACCTTTTTTGGGGTCCTGTGGTTGCTTGTTCTGAGGAGCACGTTCCTCATGGGTGTTATTGGTCACTTTCTGTCTTGTCTATTGTGTGGCTGTGAGGTGAATCCTGGGAGGGTTGAAGATCCAGGTTTTAAGGATATCTAAGGGCCATGGTCCTGGTGTGGCGCTGTGGATTAATGCGCCAGACTACAAAGTCCTTTGAACTGCATTGTCATCGGTTCAAGCTCGCAAGCTGTTCCTCGGAAACCCTATACAGGTTCGCTATGGGTCAGAACCGACTTGATGGCACATCACACGAACCATAGGAATTCTGATAGCGTAGTGGTTATGAGTTGGGCTGCTAATCTCAAGGTCAGCAGTTTGAAACTACCAGTGGTTCCACAGGAGAAAGATGAGACTTTCTGCTCCCTAAAGATTTACAGCCTGGAAACCCTATACAGGGTCACTGTGAGTCAGAACTGGCTACACGGCACAGCACCACCCCCACCACCAAAGGTCATCGTGGTGTTGCAGGATAAAGCACTGGACCACAAGGTCAGTTTGAACCATAAAGTAGGCGGCTCACGGCCATCACCAGCTGCTCCTCGGAAACCTTAGCAGGGTTGTTACGAGTCTGAACCGACTTGACGGCACTTAACAACAAAGAGCTGTTGTCTTGGGAGTTGTACCTGTTCTATCAGACTAGTAAGTCTGGTCTTGTTGATGATTTTGATTTCTGTTCTACATTTTTCTCCCATTCTGTCCAGGATCCTTATTTATTCCTAACTTTCTATTGTGAATTGAAGGAGCTCTGGTAGCGTAGTGCTTACGAATCAGGCTGCGAACCTCAGGGTCAGCAGTTTGAAACTACCAGCTATTCCGCGGGAGAAAGATGAGGCTTTCTGCTCCCGTAACGATTTATAGCCTTGGAAACCCTGTACAGGGTCACTATGAGTCAGAATCAACTCCACGGCACATAACAATAACAACAATTGTGAACTTAGTCAAGGTTTACAGAGCAGATCATGATTTTTACATCCAACAGATCATACACTTTGCTTCAGCTCAACAGTTGTCTTCCCCTTTAAAGTGACAACAGTTATCCCACTTCCTCTCTGTGTTTCCTGTTTCCCTTCCTTCTTCTTTCCCAACCCTTCGGACTTTTGTCCTTAGGTAAATGCTGCCCTTTAGATCTTGAATAACTGACCAGTCTGTGGTGTATGTGGACTCCTGGTGTGGTGCTGTAGGATCAGCACTGGACTGCGAACCACAAAGTTGGCGGTTCAAACCTGCCAGATGCTCCTGGGAAACCCTATACAAGGTCATTATGAGTGGGAACCGACTCAAAGCCACTTAACAACAACAACAATGGTGTATGTACCACACTAGTATGGTTGTTCCCCCTATTATACCTATCTACTTCTTGGCTGAAAGTTGAACCACGGGGGTGAGTTCAGTTCCAGACCTGAAAGGTGATCAAGGGGTCATAGTCACAAGGGTTCCCCGGAGTCTTTCTGACCAGTAAGCCTGGTCATTCCCCCCCCCCCCACCCCATGGTTTTGAGTTATTTCGTTCCAGACTTTCCTGTACCTTCTGAGGTGATCCCTTTCAGAGAGTTGGTTGTGGTAGCTTGGCACCATCCAGTTCTACTGGTTCAAGGTCATGGAGACTGAGATTCACTTGGTTGTCCGGGACCTTCTTTTATGATCCTGATTAGAATGGTCAGATGCAGCTGGGTACCAGTTCTTCTCGTCTCAGGCTAGTGAAGGCTGTGGTCCATAGGACCCATTCGTCTTTTAGGTTCATTGTTTCATTGAGTCTGATTTTCTTCACCCTTCTTTGCTTTGAATGGGGAGAGACCCACAGTTTCATCTTAAATGGCTTCCCACTAGGTTTTTTGTTTTGTAAGAGTTAAGGAGTTTATTAGGGATATTTGTTTTTGTTGTTAGGTACCATCAAGTCAGTTCCCACCCACAACAGAACGAAATACTACCCCGTCCTGCGCCAATCTAACAATTTTTGTTACACTTGAGCCTGTTGCTGAAATCTCTGTGCCAATCCATCCTGTTGGAAGTCTTCCTCTTCCTTTTACCTAGCATGATATCTTTCTCCAGGGCCCCATCCCTCCTGATAATGTGTCTGAAGTATGAGAGACAAAGTCTAACCGTACTGGCTTGTTAGAGGTATTCTAGCTGTACTTCTAATACAGATTTATTTATTCTACTAGCAGCCCATGGTGCTTTTAATATTCTCCTCCAACACCGTAACTCAAAAGCATCAATTCTTCTACCATCTTTCTTATTCACTGTCCAGCTTTCACATGCATATGAGGTTATTGAAAATACCAAGTGTACCTTAGTCCTCAAACTGACATCTCTGCCCTTGAACACTTTAAAGAGGTCATATGCAGCAGATTCACCTAATGCAGTATGTTTTTGCTTTCTTGACAGCCGCTTCTGTGAGTGTTGATAGTATATCCAAGCAAAATGAAGTCTTTGACGACTTCGATCTTTTCTTCATTTAGCTTGATGTTATTTATTGGTCCAGTGGTGAGGTGTTTTGTTTTCTTGACATTGAGTTCCAACCCATACTGAAGGCTGTGATCTTTGATCTTCATCAGTAAATGTTTTAAGTCCTCTTCACTTTCAGCAAGCAAGGTTGTATCATCTGCATATTGCAGGCTGTTCGAGGCTTCCTCCAATCCGGATGTTATGTTCTTCTTCATGTAATCCAACTTCTCTGATTATTTGCTCATCATACAGATTGAATAAGTATTGTAAAAGAATACAACCCTGACACACGTTTCCTGATTTTAAACCATTCCGTTTCCCCTTGCCCTGTTTGAATGACTGCTTCTTGGTCTATGTACTGGTTCCTCATGAACACACTTGTGTGATCTGGATTCCCATTAGCTTTTAAAGCTCTAGTCACTATTCACAAAAGTGGGAAGTGGAACCTTGTCCTGACCAACTATGTTATACCAATTGACCTAGATGACCCCCGAGACCATGGCCCTAGGCCTTCAAGCCCAGTGACTCATTCCTTCAAGGTGTCTGGTTGTGGTTAAGCAGTGCACATACCTTTGCCCCCTGTGTCCTTGACTGTAAAGCTGGAGGGATTTGTGACACATACAAGTCACTCTGGGAAATACCTTCCACCAAACTTGTATGTGCTCATGGGTGCCTTCCCATCCACCATTTGTCCAGGGCTTCTTGAATGACCTACAGGGCATTTCGTTGAGCCGATGAGGTTGGTGACCACACAGTGGGTAGAGGTAGAGGTTGGTGACCACTCAGGGGGTAGTGGGCTAAGGGACTTGCTGAGTATGTAGAGAAACTGAAGCTCAGTCTGTGGAGTCCATCCTTTGGCAGGTATGGGCAGTGGCCACAGGGAGCTACTGAAAGTTGCATCGGGAATCAGATCATTGTTATTAAGTGCCGTTGAGTCAGTTCTGACTCATGGCGACCTTGTGTAGGATTTCCGAGGAGCAGCTGGTGGATTTGAACTGTCGACCTTGTGCTTTGCCGCCCAGTGCTGATTCTATGGTGCCACATCAGGAGTCCATGGGAATCTGATGGAAGAGCTTTAAAAGAATGCCTGAGCTAATCACCTGTCTTCAGAAGCTCCAGGGAGCACAGATGATGGGTGGGGACAGGTGGGGCGGGCTGAGTGTTCGCCAAGGCTGCCATCCAATGTTCCTGGGCCCCTTTACTTTAGGTAGTCTCCGTCTTTGAGCTGCTTCTCTCTGGAACATTTCTTCTCGTTCCTGGGCTTTGCTCGCATCTCTCCAGTGTCCCGTGCCCCTACTGTGAGTGCTCGATGAACTTTGGGGGTGAAGAAGCTGGGGGTCAAGGCCTGTGTGCTGGACACTGAGGGTTGTGGTACGGGGCAGGAAGGTGCCTATCAACAGGCCAGAATTTGTCTAGCAGGTGCATGGTGCAGAAACAGATCCCATGGCTGACCCTCTCCCCTTTCCCGGAATACAGCTTTATCCAGCATGCTCCAAGGTTACAGCTCCGTGTTCCAGGCCTTGCTGGGGACCTTCTTCACCTGGGCAATGACCGCAGCTGGGGCAGCGCTTGTGTTTGTATTCTCTAGTGGACAGGTGAGTTGAGCAGCGTGCCTCGGGACGTGAGTCACACCGTAAAGCTGGGTTGAACCACAGTCACTTCCATGACACTGACACTCCTGCGGGTTGTGTGTCTGTTGCTGCTTTCCTGCTCCCGGGCCTGGAGGACAGGGCTCTGCTTACAGTGGGCTTGCTTGGTGCCTTGTCTGCATCCCTTGCAGACTCTGAAGGGAACAGAAACCAGGAGCCCAGTTATTCCACCCTTTGCCCGACGCCTGGCTTCTATTTCCTGCAACCCTTCTTTCAGGCTTGCAGCAGGAACATATTTGGTGATACATGTAACTGTCCCCTCCTGTGGCCCGGATGGACCAGGATGATAGACAAGATCTTGGGGAAGAGGAAGAGCATCTGTCCACATTCTCCGTCACCACCCCCTCCAGGGCTATTCATCAACCCTTTTTGAGTGGGTGTACCCAGACCTGCTCCCAATCCATCCCCTATAAAACCTTGCCACCCATACCTCCTCATACCCTATACCTCTCCCACGTGCCCCCAAATCCACATCCCCCACACCTCACACCCCAATAGATGATATACCCCTCCCCACCTTACCTCTCCATACACACATCCCACATACACCCCTTGTTGTTGTGAAGTGCCATTGAGTTGATTCCGACCTATAGCGACTCTGTGTATGGTTTCCAAGGAGGAGCTGGTGAGCTTGAACCACCGACCTTGCAGTTCAAACAACTTTGCAGTCTAATGCATTAGCCCACATACGCCCCTTGTTGTTGTTGTTATATGCCGTGGAGTCCTACACAACCCTAAATCCACACCTCCACGTACCCCATAACTCTCCCACACCTCCCCAAAATATCTCCCCGCTCCACCTCACACCGCCATAGATGATATACCCCTCTCCCTACCTCTCCACGCATACGTTCCTCATATGACCCACACAACTCCTGCACCCAACCCCATTTCCCATCTTCCCCCATACCTCCATACCTCTCCCTCACACATCCCATAATCTCTCCCCAACACTCACAGCCTCATACCCCACATTTCCACCCGAGCTCCCTCTAGATACCCTCCCACACCCCCACAGACACACAGCGGCCCACCCCTCATGTCCTCCCAGGCAGCCATGCAGCTGTCTTCTCCCTTCCACATATCCCCAGCCCTCCACACAGTCATACCACAGCCATACCCCCACTGCCTCCACGCCCCACATACCCCCCCGCCACACACACACATTTTCCCACATCCAACTCATAGCCGTGACATCCCTTTATTTTCTACGTTCCTGAATTCCTCCTGGCCAGAGAGGCTCATGATGCTGATGGCGGCAAAGCCCCCACTTTGACAGGAGAGCAGCCTAGACTTTGGTGAGCGGGTGGGGTCACCAACCAGCCTTTTGGTTAGCTGCTCAGTGCCTAACACTCTGTGCCACAAGGGTCGCTAAGATGAGGGTGAGATCTAAGGTTGGTTTAAGCATGCCGTGAGACAGAGCTGGAAGGAACACCTCTAGGAAGCTGACTAGCCAGGCCCTCTGTGTGAGCCGAGGAGAGACAGGTAAAGCAGGTGTTAAACTCAGCATTGCACCCTGACCTCCCCACACTCCGTCCTGTCTCCTGGGTCAGGAGTTTGAGCCTCCTGGAGGCTGGGAGACACACATGACTGTTGACAGGGAGGGAAACATTTCAAACCCAGTCCCTGCCCAAGAGACACCAGGATACCTGCAGAGGGCAGGTCGGCACCTCCCATTCCTCCTCCATAAAGCCACTCAGGGTTTTCTAGGTACCTCCGTCTCCTCCTCCAAGAAGCCACTCCGGGTTTTCTGGGTACCTCTCACCTCCTCCTCCCTGAAGCCACTCTTGACTTTTTGGGTACCTTCCCTGTCTTCCTTCAAGAAGCCACTCCAGGTTATGTGGGCCCTGTCGTTGTACCTTTTGGCCACATTTGGAGCAGCCCAGCCTTGGGTTTCACCCTGACTTCTTTTGCATCAGGAAGGAAAAGTCTGAGCAAGAACCTCAGCCCTGGCCCATGAGGACGGACTTCACTGCAGCAGGCCCCTTGAGAGGGGTTGAGTCACTTTATATAGCTCCTGATGGGGACCAGAAGTCCACCAGAAGGGAGAGCTTAACAGGTGGTTGGAACTTCAGAGCCACTGGTTTGTCTCCAGTTAGTGTGATTACCCGGAATCCCTGTGTGAGGCAGACAGTTCACACCTTTCACTGCTAAAGGAAAGACTGGAGCTTCCAGTCTATCCAAAGACACTCGAAAGAAAGACCTGGTGATCTACATCCCCCAAACGCAGCCAGTGAAACGCCTATGGCTCACATTTCTACTCTGACACATGTGGGCTCACCGTGAGTTGGAGTCCCCAATTGGTTTGATTTTTGTTTTGTTTGGCTTTAGAATAATCATCTTTTTTCTATCCAGAAGCATGTTGGTAGTGTCCCCCCAAATCACCTACCTGTTTGGTGTTGTGAAAGGGACTTCAAAAAACTCCTGGGAAAATGTAATTAAACAATAATGATACTCTTAGAAGATTCCTCTTCGCTGTCCTTACACCTGAGGTTCATCTCAATGATCAGCCATGGAAGAAGCCAGCAGAGTCTAGAGAAATCTGAGTGCAGGTCTCTATGCCCCCTCCCGCCTCTGAGAGGCCACACTAAATGTGTCTCTTTCTTCAGCAGCAAAATCTGTAGTGTGTGTGTTTGTGGCCTTTCTGCCCAGGGAAGCTCCCTAGCACGCAAGGCCTTTCCTGGGAGGTGGTCATCTGGGTACCCTCGGTGTAGCACACACCTGAGAGTCTAGGCATGCCATCTTAAACCACATCGTATGGCTCAGCAGTCGAGACCCAGCGAGCTATCCTTATCAGTTAGGGACCAAAAGGAAAAAGTGTCAAGTTCTTGGAAGTCAACTGAGAGCCCACCTAGCAAGCAGGGCCTGATCAAAGGAGCAACTCTCCCTGCGCTGTTTAACTCTTTCCTACACAGGGGTGTGCCATGAGGTGGGGAGGGCACAGCCTTGGATGACAAAGGCAGCCACAGAAGTGAGTCTGTAGGGCTCTGTCCTCTGTTGTTGTTGTTGTTGTTAGGTGCCATCGAGCCTGTACCAACTTGTAGTGACTTTATGCACAGCAGAACTAAACACTGCCCGATCCTGGGCCAATCTCACTACTGTTGCCACACTAGAGTCCATCAATGTTGCCACTTGGCCAGTCCATCTTATTGGGGGTCTTCCTGTTTTTCTCTGACCCTCCACCTTACCAAACATGAAATCCTTCTCCAGCGACTGGTCCCTCCTGACAATACGTCTGAAGTAGGAGAGACGAAGTTTTTGGCCATCTTGGCCTCCAAAGAGCACTCTGGCTGCATTTCTTCCAAAACGGATCTATTGGTTCTTTTGGCAGTCCATGTCACTTTCAATATTCTCCTCCAACACCATAACTCAAAAGCATCAATCCAGACTAAAACAGAGGGTGTAGGGAGCATCATTTGGGCCAGAAGGCATGGAGCCATCTACCTCAACTGTGTCATTGACGCGGTTGGAGGCACACTCACACTATATTTTCCTGATTTGAAAAAAATCCAATTTTCATTGTCAGAAGCGTGTAAGATATGGAATAGGTTTAAGAAATGAGAAAAGAGTCCTGCTCTGACATCCTAGGAGGGAAAGCTGGGCATGGATTTGCTCAAACTGGTTCAACAGTATTCTTAAACTGTTTTTGGTGTTCATTGTTGTCCAGTCGGTTCCAATTCATTGTGACTTTGTTTAGGGTTTCTGAGCTGTGGCCGGTGAGTTTGAACTTCTGGCCTTGTGATTCAAATGACCTTGTGGTCCAGTGTATGTCCAATAGCGCCACACCAGGACTCCATTCTTAGTCCTGATTCATGTGTGTACATGTTCATCTCCTTTACATCATGGGGATCTAATTGTACTTAATTTTTTTTTTTTTTTAAGTTTTTTTTTTTTT